TTTAAGATTTATTTATTTATTTATTTTTTAATATGGCTTTATCCATCTAAACTTTTGAAATGGCTTTTAATTTTCAAATAATTGTTATGCTCCTTTGGCTGACATATTTTTTTCTGCAGTTTTTAGAAATGTATTTTTGTATAAATTATTCTTACTCCTTTCACACCAAGATGTGTTTATGAAACTCAATCATATAGGTAAGTATTTCAGAAAAAATCATCCCTTTTTCTCCATTTTATTGTAATTAGAATTGTCTTCCTGAAACTTCCTAAGATCACACACGTTTATCTCATGAGATGTGTAATTTATTGCCATCATGTGATTAACTAGTACACCTGGATTTTTTTCCTTTTATGCCATTTCAGATATAACAGTAATTTCCCCCTGTAGCAGGAATTGTGATAAAAAGCTCTCAGTCATTTTTCCTACCAACTTTTATTCTGCTTCTATTCCAAAATCAGCTTTTTTTTTTCCTTTTCAAAATATTGATATTAGTGATCACATTCCAGATACCTCACAACTGCTTGTTGCAAAACTTATTACATGCTTCAACTTGTTACCATTATTAAGAAAAATATTGAATCACTTCAGATCCAAGACATAGTGAAAAAAACTCTCCAAGTAAATTTCATCTCCCTGTCTTCCAAGCAACAACAACAGAGCCATGAAATTAGTGCCAATGGTATTCATTTTATACAATTTTACCTGATCTAATATACATCTGTTCTGATGTATAACTCAGTCTAAGGTAGTCTAGGTTTTCATTAATTGTCAGTTATGAGCAACAAGCAAACCCAAAGGTCAACTGATCACAGTGATCTTAGACACGTGACTTAGGATAGGCTAAACTGACATTAGAAAGCAAGAGTAGTTCTCCGTAGTGTCTTGAAAGGGAAGACTCCGTACCTTGCAACTAGCTTCCACTTGTCTAAAAGTAAGTGGATTTAGTCTTATACTGCTATACTGTCAGAGTAGCAGTTTCATTTTCTAGTAGGGATTCTAATAGAGTAGTAGCAATATATTCTAACAAGAAAATATTATACAGGTAATGAATCGAGAGGATGCTTTTGTTCAAATACACTTGTGTTGCATTAGATGCATCTTTCCTTTTCAAATATAAGACACATACATGTACAAAAATAGCTCACAAAACTCAAATATGTAGAAATAGTTTTTTGTTCCCCCCCCATAACAATGAATAAACATAAAAGGGAAATTGAATTCCACTTGAGGGAAAAGTCTTTGATAAAGTGTTAAGCAAGAACTAATAGATATACTATCTTTTCCTTCCTTTGGGAGACGCAAACAGCAGTTTATAGTCTTCAATTGTCTTAAAGAGATAACTAAAAGTAAAATAGTTCTACCATATCAATTTTTCAGTAACAGATTACTGCCATTATTGATTCAACACCTCTGAAAAACAGGAATGGAGGAACATGCATATTTAAAGAGCATCTGACACTGGCTGCCTATGGGCCAACATTATTTGGTGTTCTGTCAGGGTACAATTATGGTGCCTGTACTTACTAATATAAACTTGTTTCATTGGAACCACAATTTGGCTTCAGGAAAATCTACGGAAAACCAATGGTTCTCTTGATTAATACTAGCTGTAATGCAATGTATTTTTGTTCTAAAGTAGCAAAATAATCACAGATTAGCACCATTCACAGAAACAGTTGTTGAGCAACGGAGTTATATGGGAATAATGCTATTAATGTGGGAATAATGCTACTAAAACAGTTCTGGTAGAGGCATGTTTAGACTCTTTACCCATGTTGTTTTTCTCATCTGGAACTTCTTAATGTAGCTTAATAAAAATAAAATAAAAAAAAAGTAAGATGAAACACTACACAGATTTTCTGGTAATTAGAGTCACTTCACTTTGCAGATAGTGTCATGTGACAGAAATTGACAGAAATACTTGTTGAAGAAGTTGACAGAAATACTAAAACCAGAAGACAGGTAAATAACTACATATTCATCAAATGCAACATTATGTACTAGTAGTAAAACAAAATGCATGTCAGAAATATTTTTACAGAAAGAAACATTCAAACTAGAATAAAGATTTGCATATATAATAAATTTTACAAAATATGTAAACCTAAGAAAAGTCTTTTTAGTGTTTAACAATGGAGTTCTGATGACAGTCTGCTTGCTACTTACATGTCTTGCACTGAATTTCTGTGTGACTATTCTCACAAACTATTTCCACAAATCAAACCAATTTTTACCTGAATTCATCTGAGGAGCTTTTATAAGCTGAAAATTCACAGAAATGTTCAGGTCGTTCACTTAACGAACATCACACAAATGTGTAAAAGCAGTTGCCTAGTATCACTGGTTCCTAAGTACTCAAAAGCAATCCATGCAGCCTTAGGCAGATCACATCTACCATACTTTTGAACCAAATTTCTTCTAAGATCTGATCTGTTCAGTGAAACTGGGACATGCCAACCTTCTTCACACTACACTGAGTTCACAACATGCAACAGATGGTACTGAAACTTTCCATTTTCCTCATAGCAGGGTAATCTGATGTCATGAGACTTATGCCTCCCAATATCAAAGACAGTTTAAAACTGATGTAGAGGGAGTAGGATGAGTTGAGAGAGACATAGGTACTTGCAACTTCTGTATCAACCCCATCTGTAGGCTGTCTTAAAGATGATCTGCATCAACCTCATCTATGCTATACCTCTATCAAGGTTCTCTTTAGGAGAACATGCCTGTACTTGGCCTGTGGAAGCTGGTTCAAATTCAGCTCTATCCATTTGCACCCTGTTGTTAGGGAATCATCAAAAATTGTACCTAGCAAATTTGTTCAAATCACAGAATGGCCAAGGTTGTAAGGGACCTCTGAAGCTCATCTAGTCCAACCTCTCCTGCCAAGCAGGATCACCTAGAGCACATTGTGCAGGATGTCATCCAGGTGGGTTTTGAATATCTCCAGAGGAGACTCTACAACCTCTCTGGGCAACCCGTTCCAGTACTCTGTCACCTTCACAGTAAAGAAGTGCCCTCTCATATTCAGGCAGAACTTCCTGTGCTTCAGTTTATGCCTGTTGCTTCTTGTCCTGTCACTGGGCACAACTGAAAAGAGATTGGCTCCCTCAACACCCTCCCCTCAGATATTTCTATAAATTAATGATGTGAGATATGTTCATCTGATTCGTGTCAGTATGGAACAGTGCTAGGGCCGCATGGTATGATGAATGTGACATTCTGTCTTACATACCGTTGTACAACCACAAGTCTAAGAAAAACAGAGTGGTTAATGTATATAATTCTTGTATCTTGCAAAGGAATGTTTTAGCAATTCATGTCAATAGAGAGCTTGAAGGGAAATGTATTTGTAGGTTTTTCCTTGAAGTCTCTGATATCTGGGGTGTTTCAGAATAACTGCTAACTATTATGACTATTGCATGGGACACTATGCAAGTCTCTGATATCTGGCCAGGAGATTAAGGAGACAGGGAGAGCTGAAGAACAACTAAAAGACAAAGCTTGCAGGGGATGTTGCACAAGTCTCTGACATACAGCCAAGTTGGACAAAGGAGAAGGACAAGAAGGAGGAAGACTATGAGCCTTCAGCATGAGAGACCCCCAGAGACCCCCAGAGGGACCACCGGAGACTGATATGCATGCTCCAGTAGGAGGGTTTGGATTCCGGAAACTGATTATAATAACCCTGTTTTTTTTAGAAGTAGTAATGAATATGTATTAGCCTAGGAGTATAAAAGTCAGCTGCTTGATGTAACTGGTGTGCATCTTGGTGGAGCAGAGACTCCTGGTGCACCCAGCACTGTTTGCTTACCTCTATTCTTTTAATAAATTGTGAACTTTGATTATAGTCCTATTTTGAAGACTGAGCCATTTATTACAATGAGGTCACCCCTCAGTCTTCTCTTTTCCAGGCTAAACAGGCCTAGTTCTCTCAGTCTGTCCTCATACAACAGGTGCTCCAGTCCTCTGTCATCTTAGTGACCATTCTCTGAACTCCCTCCAGTAGACACATGGTCAGCCTGCTGTCCACTCCCAGGTCTCTCTCTGCAGAGCTGCTCTCCAGCAGGTCAGCCCCCACCCTGTAGTGGTGCTTGGGGTTATTCCTCCTTAGATGTAGGACCCTGCACTTGCCCTTGCTGAGCTTCATGAGGTTCCTCTCAGCCCATCTCTCCAGCCTGCCAAGGTCCCTCTGAATGGCAGCACAGCCCTCTGGGGTATCAGCCACTCCTCCAAGCTTTGTGTCATCAACAAACTTGCTAAGGGTTCACTCGGTTCCATTGTCCAGGTCACTGATGAGTAATTTGAACAACACTGAACCCAGCACTGACTCTTGGGGGACAGCACTAGCTAGCTACAGGCCTCCAAATGTGTTAATGGAAACAGCACACCTGGAAAGTAAACTTACTCTCTGATGGCTACAAAATCTCAAATGGTTCTGGACACAGTACATTAAAACAAAGCATTCAGGAAATCACACTTGATTTCCTTAATTAAATGATACCTTCAATTACTGTTGCCAAAATTATGTGAGCCCAAGATGACATTTAATAACAACATTTTCTCTTTTTTTCTTTTCACTAAAATGTATATATGAATTTGATGTCCAGAATTTAAAGTATGAAGAACATCTGGCCTGGATATGTTTTTCATTTTCATTTATATACAGATAATTTTTCTGAACAAATTGCTTCTTCCTTACTATGAATAAAGAGACATATTCTGGATACTGTATCTTATAGAATAACTTAAGTTGACACTTAAATTTTACATTATTTGGCTGGTTATTTAATTTTATTTACTTAGTACATCAGCTCAAAAGAAACAATGATGGAGAAAACCACACTGGGAATTATCAAGCAAATAAAATTACACTTGAATTAACAAACTGAAATTAGCTAAGTGATTTGTTGTGCAGCTAATCATCCTTAATGATATCAGCTTACACTTGTTTCTCAGCCTCCAAACCATTAGCATTACCACACACTACTTACTGGGAATTTGCTGGATCCTGTGCACAACCACAAATGCATCTGAGAGTCCCACTTTCACTGGGTGGTTGGTTGAACTTATTTGTGTCACAGCAACAGGAATCTGGAAGACAAAACAGAAAGATATGCCTGAACTACTGAACTCAAAAAATTCAGACTCAAATTACAGCATTGGCAGAATGAACATTTAGCCAGTGTATGTAATACAATACACCATAATATGAGTAAGGACTTAATAAAGATTAAAATTAATGTGTTTTTTATTTATTTATTTATTTTATTTTATTTTATTTTATCCCAGTCTGCTTTGCATCTTATATAACAACATTTACATCAAAACTCAGAGGTGAAACAACTGATAGTAATGACATGGAGAAGGGCAGAAATTTTCAGTAATTTATTCCCCCAGTTGAAGATGTGGAAGACATGGAGGAGGAGGCAATACTTGTCTACCATTAAACACACAAACTGAAAGTTCAGCTTGGGATAAGCACTTAAAAACTTGTCTCAGGTAACTTGCACTGAAAACTGTTTTACAACCTATTTGAAGGTATTTCTGGCCTGATGAAAATCATATTTAATGTGTCTTGGAGTAGCTGGGAAATTTTCTTTGTCACCAAAATTTTGGAAAATGACAGATACTCACTTGTCAGTATTTGGAGAAATAAAAATTAAAACTGAAATAAATAAGAGACCTAGATAGCTATAGACCAGTCCGGCTTTGCAGAACAGAAATACTGATGCCAGGCAATATAGTTTTATGAAAATAAGTGTTACCAAATTTGATTTAATTCTTTGGGGATGACTGCAGGATGGCTGATCAGTGTATAGCTGTAATAGCTATATAATTTTGTAAGGTGTTTAACATAGTGACAAGTAACATTTATACAATATTACTGTAGTTAACTAGACTGATCACAAACAGCAGCCACACTGAAGATTGACAGCTCAGATTGACAGCATGTCTTTACAGTATATCATGCTTCTCTTGGCATAGTATCCAAGAGTTTTATGAAAGATTGAGAAAAAAACATACATTTACTGCTTAGCAGTTCTGCAGGTGACACTGGCAGAGTAGAAATAATGAAATGTCTGGATCAAGTAACCGAGTTAGACCTTGTAAAAATTGCGAAGTTATAACTTGGAGAACAGAATGCAAGGTAGAGGTTTGAGGACCATCTTCTGGAAAGCAACAATTCCGGAAGGACTCTTGGGATTATAGTGGGTAAGCAACTCCAGCTTTTGGAGGAGTAATCACAGCAAGAAGCCTAATTGATGTGATAATTGATTACATAATCTGTGAAATATAGCCTAAAAGTGGGTTTGTCATTTTACATCTGCACATTAGATCATTACTGAAATGCTACACAGACTTTCGGAGGGTCTATTTCTTAAAAAGATTCAGAAAACTTAAGAGAAGGAAGATGAAAAGGTCATAAGAAATAATTTAAATCTTTTGCAGTTCTCAATTGCTATTAACAGAATTAAAGAACTTGATTTGGCTTCTCGAAAAGAAAACGGAAAGCTTACTTGATTATCATAAACAATTACTGCCATGGGGAGAAATAACTAAAGAGATTTTTCTTTTAGCACAGAAAGATGTAATCAGAAACTGGAAGCTGCACACCTGAAGATACCTTCAAAGTAGAGTAAGGTACGTATGCATATGACTGAACATTTTTAACCACTGGGAAAAAGTACTAAGAGAAATTATGATTCTCTATCCACTGCTGCTTTCAAATCACAGCTGGATATATTATTTTTCAAAGCTGGCCTTCAGTTAACCTTAACCAGAAATTACTAGTCTGAAGACAGATGAAACTGGATCAAGTGTAAGAGACTGAGATACAAGGTGGTAGCTCAGCTAATCTAATAGTATGCTATGGGTTTATCTACGTGAAACTAGCAAAGTTATACTGTTTGCCAGTGTTTTTCACATAGAAGAAAAATTCTAAACTAAAAAACTGCTTAAATATTCAGTGAATGAGGATTCAGTATTGTGTGCTTGTCAGTTAATGGTATGATCTCTGGTATTTGAGTTAAACATTAGCTTGTTTCTCTTTTCCTTGTTCACAAAGTATCGTTTAGCTCTGATTACAATGACATCAGTCTCAGAAAAGTTAAATTTGAGATTATTAACAGAAAAAGTGAGTTCTGATGAATTAAAACTGTCACAATTTTCAAATTATTTTACTGTCTCCATGGTCTGTGATGTTGTACTGTTTTGGTTACATTTAAATGGAGCTTCTTACATACACAATCTGCAAGAAGCAGCTTGGTAATACTGCCATTTTTACATCAATTTAAACTTGGCTTCTATCAGCTATTAGATAAGCTTGTGTCATTTCAGCTCTGATGCAATTGTTGAGGAGTATCAGATAAGAAGGTTGAAAGCCATATTTTCAAAGTCCTCAAAATAAAAGACTGACTGCATTCAGTAACAAGTCTATAAACTTTCTCCAGCATGAAAGTATAAACAAAATAAGAGATTTTTTCACAGTCTTGGAATACTGTAGAAAAATGTTTATATTAACAATTAGAGAAACTATCAAGAAAGATTTTGAGAAGGAGGATATTCCTATTAAAGCTATTGAAAATCAAGTCAAAAAAAGCACCGATGAGAAGAATACAATGGCTATTTCTCTTTGAAATTAGTAAGAAACACAGCAGATGAAGAAAGGAGTTAGTTTTACAGACACAAAATGTAGTCAGAATTCATGTTCAAGGTGTGTAACCAATAAAGTGTTCTGGCAAAATGGCAATAATTTTAAAAAGCAGTTCAAAATTTGGATATGTGTGGATATACAGGAAAGTGTTTGTGCAAGATAAAGAGGTCTCATAAGTTAATACAACCAGCTCTTCAAACTGAGATATAGGCTGTGTCAAACAAGTAGTTATACAGAAGAGAAATACAAAGTAGAAGGTAATCCATAACCCAAGAAAAAAAACTTGAAAAACTACAGCATAATTAAGCATATGTATTTGCAAATGCAGATTTATCTTTATAGTGTGGGGAAATAAGCTATTGTACAGAACAAAATACTTCAGTCTATCAGGAATGAGTGTACTGAGTGGCAGTTTATAGGTGAAATCTTTTGAACAAGATGTCAAGATAAAATAGGCTTTTACCATATGATGCCCTATTAGGAAACACACCCTTTTGGCAGAAGGCTTATAGTAATTGACAAAAATATTGATTGAAAACTACAGCAATACACAGGTAGCAAGCAGATAGCTACTGTTCTGAATTCCTCATATGAATGACAAGATATGTCATGACAGGACGACATGTTAAATAGTTGAACAAGGAGTTTTATGGCATTACATTTGGAGGATGGATTTTAGCTAGAATCCTTCCAAAATGTGTTAGTTCTACCGTGGATAATATGTACTCTTGTACTTTACAAGCCACTAGCTTCCCAAATCCATGCTAGCAACAGGGCCATTGACATATATATTTCTGATTATATACTTAGCACTAGAGAGGAAAATACTTAGAATTCATGCTGAATTGCATTATTTCCTAGGAATAGTAATCTAGGGAGTATTTTCCAACAGAAAGCTCTCAAATTTTATTCTTTTCCACTTCATCTGTGACTAGTCAGAATCTTACTCTCCAAAAAAAGATTAAATAAACGACCTCTGACCTTATTCTGGCTATGGTAAACAGGGTGCAATTACTGCACTTGAGTCAAAGATAAGGGCTAGAGTATTCTGCAAAATAATAATTAGAAATGCAATACTACTTAGTATCGCGGGAGATAGACTTGTGGAGCAACTCCCTGCACAGCCTGAAAGACAGGTACCGGGGTGAGACACCCCAAATGGGGGTGGACCCCCTGCCCTGTTGCTGTCAGGCAGAGGCAGGGGACCTAGGAGTTGAGGAGTAATGGAAGCTGCTCGACATCGCAGGTGATGCCCCCCTCTACCAGCCCCACCTTCCCAGGTGCCCTTATGCAACAGGTTTAAGGCCCTGGAGCTTGACAGACTGGTAGCTGAGGAAGAGGTAGTAAGTCTACCCAGGAGGATACCTAGGGCACTCCACGCCTCAGGACTGTCTCCACCAGGACAGAAAGAAGGGTGATTGTTGTGGGCGACTCTCGTCTCAGGGAAACAGAGGGACCTATTTGTCGGCCTGACCCTACCATTAGGGAAGTCTACTGCCTCCCAGGGGCCAGGGTCAGGGACATTGCCAGAAAGCTTCCCAGCCTGGTTTGCCCCTCTGACTATTATCATCTTTTAATAGTCCAGACTGGCAGTGATGACATTGAAGAGAGAAGCCTGAAGACCATCAAACGGGACTTTAGGGGACTGGGACGGTTAGTGGATGGAGCGGGAGTACAGGTGATGTTTTTGTCCATCCCTACAGTGGCAGGAAGGGGTACAGAGAGGATACGGAAAGTCCACCTGATAAACACGTGGCTCAGAGGCTGGTGCTAACACAGAATTATTATTTTTTTTTGACCATGGGGCACTTTACTTGGCACCCCGCCTGATGGCCGCAGACGGGTCCCTATCTTCAAGGGGAAAATGGATCCTAGGCCAGGAGCTGGCGGGGCTCATTGAGAGGGCTTTAAACTAGGTAAGAAGGGGGACAGGGCTGAAACAAGGCTTATTAGAGCTGTGACAGGGGTAACTATGGCAAGGCTGGGAGAGAAGGCAATGGCCCAGCTGAAGTGCATCTACACTAATGCACGCAGCATGGGTAACGAACAGGAGGAGCTGGAAGCCATCATGCGGCAGGCAGACTACAACTTGGTTGCCATCATGGAAATGTGGTGGGACCACTCTCATGACTGGAGTGTTGCAATGTCTGGCTGTAGGCTCTTCAGAAGGGACAGGTAGCATGGAATGGGTGGTAGTGTGGCTCTCTGTATCAGAGAGAGTTTTGATGTCATGGAACTTGAGGCTGGGAATGATAAGGTTGAGTCCCTATGAGTTAGGATCAGTGGGAAGGCCAACAAGGGAAGCACCCTTGTGGGGGTCGGTTATAGACCGCCAAACCAGGATGAGGAGACTGATGAGAAGTTCTACAGGCAGCTGACAAAAGCTGTGAAATCGTCAGCTCTTGTTCTTGTGGGGGACTTCAACTTCCCAGATATA